AGATACGAGATGCTTGTCGCATATATATATATATATATATATATATATATATATATATATATGTATGTATGTATAATGTATGTATGACTTGACGGCTTATCTAGCACCGTTATCACCTCACTGCAAGCATGATGAGCACAATTCAACCACTCCAAGTTCTTGGCACGGCACTCATCATATGCATGGATTAGCTCGTGTTTGATCACTTGGTTCACCTCATCTTGTATCGCGATATGGTTACTACAGATTGTAATCTTGAGACAGAAACAAAGGAGACACAAACAACAATCAGCAACAAGATGAACAACAGAACATCAACGGACAAGAAGACAGGGCACTATACTTATGGTCATACAGGATTACAAAGAATTAAGGATATTTTACACCAGAGGAAGGAAGGGTTCCCAAGACACTGTGATTCATGCTCTGAATAGGTTATCAATAAAGGCACGTACATGATTAAGTAGGGAGAATCGGTAACGTGAATCGAATTCAAGAACATGGAAATCAAGAACATCTGTTGAAGTAAATCTAAGAAATAGGGTTTACCCCTCGTCCTTTCTGGAAGGCCCCGCCGTGAGGTGTCGTACAAACAACTGCTCTGATGAAATTGTCCCCAACTCTGCATCCAGATTTCTCCATTTGCTCTATCAGAACCTTCACCTGTGGGTCTAGTAGAAAATATAAGACGAAACAAATATGAAAAATGCATAATATCAGACAAAACAAGGGATAAGAATTCGAGGTTCAGGAACCCTAAACTCCATAAATCCCAAAAATCGAAGCCCTAAAAGTGGGTATGCTCCAAACAATACCAGAAAAATAAAAAGGAACTCCAAAATTTTCATGACGAAAGTTGATGAATTTCAAATGGAAGAAGAAAATTCCCAAAAAAAAAAATGTAAAATTGATCGCTATCGCGAGCTTCAAAAAACGAACAATGTAAATTTTGAAAACGAATTCAAGTATGTCACCGACACAAATCAACAAGAAACAGCAAACAAAAACACATGGATGAGGGAAATGAACGGAAACAGCAAACAATTCTCATACTTCGGAGACTTCTGCGAATCATGACCTCACATTCCTCGATTGATTTTCCCCGCTTTGAACTGCCCGCCCAATCGGATCCGATGGTCGGAGATGTTTCGTCTTCCATTCCGAAGTTCTACTTCGCTCGGCCTGACCGAAGCCCGCCTTCCGAGTGGATGGATTTGCCTGGCCGTGTAGATCAACGGTCAGGTAGGGTTTGAGCAGGGGTGTAAAAAGAGGCGGCCCGGCCCAGCGCAGGCGGGGCGGCTCCTTCCGATCTAAAAAAAAATTTAGCCCAACCCAATCTGACCCTGACCATAAATATATGAGTCCAATCTATATCGTCTTAACCCACAAGCCAAACGACCCGATCCAAGAATCAAATATATAATTTTTAAAAATAAAATTTTAATACTAAAAATATTTAAAACCAATTTTTATATTTAAAAATATTTAAAATGTAATAAAAATAAAATTTTAAACAAAAACAAACTAATAAAAACATATAATTTTTGTATATAAAAATATTTTAAAATTTATAAAAATATTAAAATTTAAAAAAAAAAAAAAAAATTTTTGACATGCGAACGAGTCTGGCTCATGTCGAGTTGGTCCGCCACGAATCCGATTCGTGATGGACTGATTCATTTGGTCCAGTTTTTTGTAGGTTTAAATATTTTGAATCCACCCCAGAAAAATATGAACCGCTAATCGAACGATTAGCGGCTCGTTTTACATTTAGGGACGGTTTTAAACTTTTAATATTGAAACTACATAAGTTACATAACTACCCTCGTTTAAGATGTATATTTACGAACATACCCCGTATACCTTGTTCTCTACAACGATTCTCAGCGTATCACTAACAATACGTCTTTTAAAAAATCGTATATTTTCTATCTAAGATATTGTTTAGATAATTTCTGCATAGAATTTATATTTCTCGTTTATATATTAGATAATTATAAAATTCAGTTAGATTATATTTTATCTCTATGTATTATAAACTAAAACCATGTGATAAGTCTTAGGGACTATTTAGCTTGTACTAGGAGACGTATAGATTGAGATCTATAGGTAGCTTTTATTTGCCTATATTTTTATTGGGAATATTTCATTTTTGTATTGCTTTTGGTTTTCCATTTGGATCCAAGGATTCTATATATAGCAGAATTTTCTATTGAATAATAATGAATACAAGAATTTTGATAATGTTTTGAATTTTTCTATTATTTAAAATACCGAAATTAATATACACATAAATAGTACAAAAATAATATATTTTTCAATGTGATTCCGGCGGATGGAAGTGATTGTTCTGTTCAATGATCATAGATAATAGATATGATATTTCATAACCCATAAAATGAAAATATAGATTCTCCCAAATCTCTTCCTATATTATCGAATCTTAAATATTATTTCCAACTATATCCTCGATCACTTTCACATTAAACAAATGTAAAATAATAATTCTCCGCGTGCTAAAACTGCATGAGAAAAAAAAAACAAAGTCCAAATCTGTATAGGAATATAAATTTCGTGTATAAATATCGAAGATCTCTTCGATTTCTCATTGTCTACAATCCATCTCCTTCTTCTTCGTCTTCTTCCTGCGTTCTCTGCGAGGAAAAGCATTACGCATACACAGTTGCAACAATGTCGCCCAAGGAACTCATGCAGATGTTCGAGCAGTTCGACAAGAACGGCGACGGAAAAATCTCCGGCGAAGAATTCCGCAGCGTTTTCAGGGCGTTTTCTCCGTCGCTATCTGCGGAGGAGCTCGACAAGATGATGGAGGAGTTCGACGTCGACGGAGACGGCTACATCGACGCCGTCGAGTTCGTGACGTGTATGCAGCGTTCCCATAACGCCGACGCGCTCGGATCGCCGTCGCCATCGCCCTCGCAATCGCAATCGCACCGCGATTTGAGGGAAGCGTTTGAGATGTACGACGCGGACGGCGACGGGAAGATATCGGCGATGGAGCTTCACGTGGTTTTGCGGAGGTTGGGGGAGAAGTGCACCGTAGATGATTGCCGGAGAATGATCCGAGCGGTCGACGTTGACGGCGACGGTCACGTCGATTTCGAGGAGTTTAAGAAGATGATGTCTTCTTCTTTTTGAGCGATTTTTATGTTTTTTCTCTATAAATTTTAAATAACTATTTTTTTATAATGTTTGGAATATTAGGGTTTTCTTCTGCTACGGTTTATTATATCGTTGGTTGGTATCAGATTTATCCGAATTTAGATTTTTAAGTTTTTTTTAATACATATATAATAATAATGGTGATAAAAAAAAAAAGTAATGGGCCTGTAATTGTGGGCCTGAAAGACGAAGCTAAAAAATTCTCGTGGGCTTGACATTTCATGTCCACGGATCTTGGGGCGGTGAGGTTACGCGTCTGACGAGCGCGTGCGATTGAGCTCCGCTACGAGCACAAGATATAGCCTCGACGTCAGTAGGTGGACTTTCCTGAACCGGTACAGATATTTCGTGTTTTTGCTACTATTAGGTTATTTGTGTTGCTGTATTTTATATTTATTTAATTTTGATATTATTATGTGTCGGTTTATTGATAAAATTATTCGTTTTCTAAATTACATCTTCCATTATTTTAAATTTCGCATCTAGATATACCAACCGAAATGTCACTCTCTCCTCGTATTTCTGTTTTTTTTTTTATAATTCACTTTCGATCCAATTATATCTCCTACAAAATCGAAAAAATTTAGATAAATATCACTTATTAAACGGACTATATTACAAAAAGAATATAATTATCACAATCTTTTTGCCATTAATTTGAATCGCCTATCTTTTTTATCATTACAATTGCTATGGGATTTATATTTATATTTACACGTCCAATACGGTATCCATGCCATGCAAGTGATAAAGGTAGGAAGCAAACACGTGCACAAGGGAAGCCCTCTCTGTTAAGCCACGTTTTTACCTTGCTTGTCCGAAACACGACACGTTATTATAGCTTGTGGGCAACATCAAAAACTCCCCATATTAAAAAAAAAAAAAAACTAGGTATCTCGAACACATCAAACCAAAAAAAAAAATTAATAAACACCGACATCGGCAAAAAAAAATAATGATCCATCTAGCTCTCTTCCTAGATTTCACGATCCGGCTCTCCGTAATCTTCCACAATGTGTTATTCTCGTACTCTATACATCACATCTCTATAAGTACCCCAGTCGTATCGCTCAATTAGCCACGAGTCTTCTTCTCGAATATCGCGTCTCTTTCTTTTTCTACTTCTTGAACGAGCTAGGGTTTTCCAACTGAGAAGGATGATACCGATATGCGTGGAGTGTGGGTCGAGGAGCAACCCCTGCAGATGCCGAGTGGTCGGGCCGACGCTGGGGTTCGTGGCTTTCGTGGTGGCCGGTGCCGTTGAATGGCCCCTCGGAGCGCTGGTTTATTGCTTCAAGCACGCCAAGGGCCGTAGCATCATGGCTCATCCGGCCACCGTTGTTTATCCTTCGGTCGCCGGCTCCATTCCCATTTGATCTTTTTATTTATTTATTTTTAAACAATATTTTTTTTAAGAAACATGCACCTATATGTAGTTAACAAAACACTCAAAAGGTTGTGTTTTTACTTTCTGAAATAAATGTGAACTCGATCGATGCCATGTTCTGCTTTTGAACTATGTACGAGTAACAAGATTTCACAGTGAGAATGTTTCAAGGAGCTAATCGATAAAAAAAAAAAATTCTAAATGTTCAATTTTGTATGAATTTAAATAAAATTATAATGCATAAAAGTTTTTTAAAAAATGTATATCCAATTGATAAATTATGCTTATTCTTTGAATGGTGGGGGAGAATTGGTTAATTCGGGGGAATTTAATAAAATCCGACGAGAATTCGATATAATACAAATTGAACCGAACCGAACCGGAGTTAACCAAACTCGATACCGGTTTCATATGTTGTGTTATTTTATCGTCCCATGAAACCACACGACCCTCGACATAGAGTACGGTTGAATCGGTCAAGCATGATCGTGCGAAGGCTTTCATCTCTCGTTTCAACTGTTTCGCAAAGGTTCTCCAATGGGTAAGTTTGTCTGTAGTTCCCATATCGAAAGATCAACAATTTGGATAAAACCCAATCGATCTAAAAAGCGAAAGCTGACGCTTTTGCGTTGTTCTTGTAGATCACGAACTCGCTTGATCACTGGTCCGACATGTTCTATTCAAAATCAGGTTTACGCTCAGTGTCGACATAACTTCCAAGGTTTCCGTTTCTCCACCCTTCTTGGTGTTTGTTTATGTCTGAAGTTATTCTCTTGAGTTTCTGTTCAGGTCTTCTGAAATTGTAGATAAGATGTTTGTGAAAATTCCTCAGTGAGTGAACTTCTTCGTTCCATGCGTTGGAGAGAAAAGATTGATCAACTCATAATCTGGTTTTTGGGTGTTTCTGATGTCAACATCACGTGTCTTGATTTTGTCGCACATTGGACAAAACCCGAGAAAACGATGGATTCCGTCTGAAGAATGTGGAAAGTCGTCCTTTTTAGGTTCAAAATGAGATCCTAATGGAATTTCCTAGAGCAAGTTCATTACAGCAGATGGTTTAGATGAACTAATACAGTTATGATGTTTGGCGATTTGGCTTTTGGTGCCTGCTTCCGCCCAAAACGCGGAAAAGAGAGAATTCCTTACGAATCCATGAAAAGGAAAGATTTGGCCTTTGCTAATCCCATTCTTGTCCTTGCAAATATATATCCTCAAGGATTAAGGTTTTGATTACCTGTCGTTAAACCGTGTTTCATCTGGCGTCGGGTTATGTCCATAGAGCATAAACATGTAGGGTAAACATTGTAATCGTACTTGTTCTTCTTTGGAAATTTCTTGTTAGTTTAATATATTTCCCATATTCCCGGCTTTGCAAGGCATACAAACGAATTTAAGACTTTATGCTTCTTTTTGTAGTTTTACAAACTTTCTGATGTCTGGAACTATCATGTCTTTGGAAGCATATGTTTGTTGAATGGATTAAGGATCTTCGTGAATAGATTGGCATCTGTCTGCTGATCATCTGAATGTTTTCTTGTTCTGGATTGTAGTTGGTTCTTTTCTGTTGGGCATGTCTGCATCAGGCTGGCTTTAATGATTATGGAGCCTTTTAGTACAATATATGTGCCTTTTACCCTTGAGCATGTTTACAATTTCTACTACCAATCGTTTGGAATATGTTGCATTTGTATTTTTGAAATTTGGCTCTACAAAGTTTTTTTTCTTGTTTCTGCCTGTTATTTCCATTAAAAGTTTCATGGATTTAATGTCCTGCAGTGGCACGGTCATATGCCAGTGGAAACCGTAAAGACTACAATCTGTTTGGGAGTAAGGTACCAGGCGATGAAGATTTCAGAAACACCTGGAAGAAAGAAATGGAGGATGACTCTACTCTGTGGACTGGAAGTGAAGATGAAAGTGATTCTGAAGAAGAAAGTGGGAAAAATCGGCTCGAAAGGAATATCAAGAAAGTAAGACAACAAGCCAAAGATAACTCCCATCTAATTGATGGGGATGATAGTGATGAGCTATACAGTGTTTGGTCCGAGAGTGACGAGGAAAAGACCCTCTGGACTGGCGATGAAGGTGATGACGACGATGATATTCCAAGTGACCCGTACCCCAATGAAGCCTCTGACAAATACTTAGATAAATTGTTTGAGTTTGAAGAAAAACCCAAGTACCGGACAATGTCAGAGATGTTGAAATCAGAAAACGAGCCTGAAGAACTTTCACCAGGGAAAAAAGCCAGGAAACTTGCCGTTGAGAATGCATTGAAGAAATTGAAGAAAGGACCTGACGGGCGATATACGAACGTGTGGGAAGTGATGAGCGATATCGATATTCTGATCGGAGCATTTGAAAATATCATATCAGGACCTGAATATGAAGAGCTCAGAAAGGGTGGACCAAAGAGATTGAATATGCAGTTCTTCAAGGATATACAGGCTCGTATGAGAGACCCAAATTATAAATTCACCCCTGAAATAAGACTGAAGCCGAAGAGCAAGTTGGTGCCAAGGAAGAAATGGCAGAAGGCACAGTCCAGAAGAAGGAAGGCTCAGAAGCGGTGAAGCTCAACTGAGACAGGTAAATCCACATTTATCCACTGGATTCAATCCCCTATCATTTGCCTGTAAAAATTTTGTCACTATGGAATTTAACTTTGTCTTGTAGGTTAAAGTATTCACTAAGCTAAAGCTTCATACACACAAGAAGAAGTTGCTGTATCGTTTTGATGAATCTGCTTAGAAGACGTCAAAGCTGCAGAAGATTATGACAAGAGGGTGAAAACAGCCAAAAGTTCCGAACTTTACTCCTTCGGACATGTAATCTAAGGTAAATTCCCTGTCTTATGCTATATACAGAATCGGTGCTTGACCGTCAACATACCATCCCACGATGCGTGGAATGGAAGCAGTCAAATACCAGACACCGTCTCGTGGCGTAGCCTATAACGATTGAACCCTATATTCTTTGTTTTCTGGATAGAGCAAAAGCCATATGAAGAAAGGTGATGCTTGGTCCCCTTTGCATCCATTTTAGCAAAGATTACAGCTTTTTGCTCTTTGATTTTTGATTAAGTATCACTTTCTCGTTAAAGCATAACATTGACGTTGACCCTCTTCACGTTTTTTCATATAGAAAGTTTTTTCAGAAAGGAAGCAAATTTGCTTAACAGATCAGAGGATGCTGGTTTATATTTATTTATACATAGGAATATAAATAATTCGATCTATAATGTTATTAGTAAATCCTGAAAAGGGTCGTCTCAATTCTCACGTATGTGAAATAAAATATAGTCTCTGTGTTTTGTCATTACACGATGGAGCAACCGTGGACGTTGTCGTCGCTGAAGAGGGAGACGTAGTTCTCCTCGGGAGCGTTTGCGTTTGGAAACGCTTGGCCGGGGTTTCGGATGTGGCCGATGGGAGCGCGTTTGTCGTACATGCCAGGGGCAAAAGGGTAATATACCACGTGCTGCGGGATGTACGGCCAAAATTCCGCTTTCTTCCCGGTGCTCTTCACTCTCGTCAGCACCTTGTTCGGGTCCACGTGTCCGTTCACCGTCACCCGGCTCTGTTTCCGGTCCACCTCCACGGTTTTCACTCCTGTTCCGGTTTACCCCATTAACCAAAAAAAACAAATCTATATTTTGTGAATGTACATACATACATATAAATATTAAAATATATAACGTTAAAAGGTTGAAAAAAATATGGTTTAAATTGTTTGAAATTTTGGGTTGAAGGTCCATGTTTAGTTACCTTGAGAATTGCGTATTAAGAGAATAATAAAAGAATATTTAAAGAAAGAATAAAGTAAATGAGAACAAGAAAGGGATTTGTTAAAAGTCAGAGAGAAAAGGAACCTTTCATCCGGCGAACTATATTTCTAATTCTTCTCTCGCAGCCATCACAATCCATCTTCACCTTGATCTCCACTGTCTGTACATTTCCATTTTAATTACTACATAATACGATTAAATGATATATACATATATTATAGTATTATTATGAAGAGGAAGACAAAAATAGAAATGTAAAGCTGTTTGGGGGGAGAACAGACCTGCAATGGCTTACGCTTTCTCTTGCCAGTGTGAGTGTAAGAACAAAAGCTGGAAATATAATCAAGTGCACCCATTGCCCTCTCCTCTCTTAGTCTACAAACCACTATATGCTCTGTATCGCTATCTGTGCCGTTTGTATACATGTATATACACACACACACATAGGCAGAGGGAAA